TATATATATATATTTTTTATATCGGGGTTTTTAATTCATTAATTGATGGTAAACTTTCAAAATTTATATTAATGTATTGTTATTGAATACCTGACTCCTGTTTAAGAAAATCAATTTACAAGAGTGGGTAAAGTATATTATATTTATGATGTATGAAAGATGCAAGCATCATGCAATGCCTAATCAACCTATGCATGTCTTGTAAAATTCTTTTCACACTTTGGGTATTGTTTTGGGTGCACATCTTTAATTTCCCACTTTTGGAAGGTCTATATATTCAATGGGATTGTACCAAACCTCTCGAAACTATAGTGGCTGTCTCTTTACATGACTTGCTATCATGGTTTATGATCGGCCATTTAGGTTTAATTCCCTAATTAAAGTTCTAACGTAGGGTATACGTGTGTTTATTTGGTGAAGGCTCAGACTTATATTATCACTTGTTTCTCATTATTATACCTGAAAAATACGACAATATGGAGGGCATGGTATTGTTTCTTGTGAAATTAAACTTTGAATTGGGGAATTGCTGTGCTCGCTGCTCATTGTACCGTAAGAACTAAATAAGAAGAAAAATGGTAAAGGAAAATAACAAAACTTATATCCAATTTTTTCGATATAAATGGTATTGTTTTTCAACCAGAATTAAAATTTTACCTCGATAAAATGTACTTACATTCAATACAAATTTTATTAATATAATTTATACATATTATTAAGATAAAATTTCAATTTTGAGGGAGAATAACTCCAACTCACCTAAAAAAACTTATACTAAAGTTTTTTCTTAAGAAAAAAAAATCCATGAATGACTTATATGCATGAATTAATTGAAGAGGAACCCTTCATTGTAAGTTGCTTATTTGTATACAAGTTGATGATGATGCTAGCGTCGCTAGATTACCTGTGTTGTAAGTTGCTTTTAAACATGTGTTGTTGAGAGGTGTGTAATACATGTGTTGGTTGTTGTTATGATGAATATGGTAACTATTCCAATGATTTGTACAGTAATTGCGTTAAAGTGTTGATATGTGGAATCAAGTTGAAATGATGTTAAGATGTATAGTTGTTGTGTTGCATATTTAATTATTAGGAGTTGTTTATTGTCTCTAGCTTACCCTTGCATGTTTTCATGTGGTTTGGATGCGATGATCATACATTGTATGAGAGTAGGGCAGGGATAGGCTGGGAGATAGCTGCTAGAGGTCACAAGAGGTGCTTGGAGATGAATTTTTTTTTGTAGGCTACCTTATAGTAGCATATTTTATTGTATATAACTGGTTGCTTGATTAACTTATAACTCAACAACACAGTTCAGCTCAATAACTTAAACAACACACAACTTTTCAACTCATCATCTCAATCAACTTTCAACTTAAACAACATGGTTATCATCTCATCAACTCAATGATCGACTCATTTAAACTTTAAACGACATAGTCAACTCATAATTTACAACTCAATCACATGGTTATCATCTCATCAACTCAATGATCGACTCATTTAAACTTTAAACGACATAGTCAACTCATAATTTACAACTCAATCACATGTTGTTTAAGTTGAAAGTTGATTGAGATGATGAGTTGAAAAGTTGTGTGTTGTTTAAGTTGTTGAGCTGAGCTGTGCTGTTGAGTTATAAGTTAATCAAGCAACCAACAACAACCAGTTATATACAACAAAATATGCCACTATAAGGTAGCCTACAAAAAAAATATTCATCTCCAGACACCTCATATGGCCTTTAGCAGCTATCTCTCAGTCTATCCCTGCCCTGCTCCCATATAACGTATGATCATCACAGTTCAAACCACATGGAAACATGCAAGGGTAAGCTAGAGACAATAAACAACTCCTAATAATTAAATATGCAATACAACAATTATACATCTTAACATTATTTCAACTTGATTCCACATATCAACACTGTATCAACACTTCAATGCAACTACTGTACAAACCATTGGAATAGTTACCATATTCATCATAACAACAATCAACACATGTTTTACACACCTCTCAACAACACATGTTTAAAAGCAACTTACAACACAGTTAATCTAGCGACGATAGCATCATCATCAACTTGTATACAAATAAGCAACTTACAACATAACAACACTATCATCATCCTCAACAGGGTCAACATACAACACAATCAAGTACATTATATTTGTTACTTTCTTTGGATTTATATATAAGTAAAAAAGTACCAATTTTTTTTAACTTAAATATAAATAAACTCTAACTTGACTTAATTTGATGTTATTATTCCAAAAATTACACTTAAAATAAATGTGATTATTATTATCAATAAATACTATTAAGAGTAGTTTAGTTTTATATGAAATCAATAAAAATAAATGAATTTAACTAATTTCTTTAATATGTATGAATTTAAGTATTTTTGCTTATATATAATTATCCTTAAATTAAATGTGATTATTATTTCTAATAAATATTATTAAAGATAATTTAGGAATTACAGTCTTGTTTTATATAGAAACAATAGAATTAAATGAACTTAACTGTAGTTTTTGATTATTAATTTTGGAAAAATGTATCAATCACATACATGAAAAAAAAAAAAAAAAGAACTTGACTAATTTCTTTAATGTGTGTAAGTTTAAGTACTTTTACTTATATATGAGTCCAAGAAAAACAACACTCATAAAATATTATATACCTTCTACTTTTTTGTGTCCACCGTCATATATTTTATATGTGCATTTTTTTATATGTTCCAAAATATTTATTATAAATTGTGAAATAATTTATATTTTCAAAAATACTTATTTATTATAAATTTTATTAATATAAAATAAATAATATTTTGTACATTACACCTGCTAAAATATTAGTATACTCAATAAATTAAAATGTATTCCTTAACTTTCTCTCATTTTTCCTATAATAAAAAAAAAAAAAAAAAAACCTTCTCTCATTTTGGTTAACATGCTGAAACATTTGGTTCACATCATCTTGTTAATGGAAATTTTTAAAATTCCTTGGAGTATTGTATCTAATATAAAATCATAACATGTGAACCTGTTTTAAACACCTTAAAAACACTATAAGAAAAGCAATACTTGATGAGGAAGAATCATAGCAGAATCTTTTAGATCAACCTAGCATAACTAATCACTTTAATTTGAATAAGAAACACATAATCTCAACCTTATTGTGTTAAACAGAGTGATGCTGCTGGTAATACCTATTTAACAAGTTCCTCGTGTAAATAAGCTTCCATTCATGCATGTGAGGAGTGATTAAAAAAGAGGAAAAAAACTCATGTAGTGATATGATATTGCTTGTGCATCCATGGCGGAAAACTCTGCATCTATTCCATGTTCATCATTAAAATTAGGAGCGACCACAAATCTGATCCAGAATGAGATTTAATGAATCTAAACCGAAAAAATCATATTAGCTCAATCTATCGGGTCGATTTAGATTTAAATACAGAAAATTCAATCAATTTGGTTCAAATCTCAAATTTTGATTTTCATGAACTAAACTAAACTCAAATAATCTAATAAATTATTATTATTATTATTATTATTAGATTTATTTTAGTTTACAAAATTTGAACTACTAGTAAAAGATAAAGAAAGGATAAGTAGCCCATTCAACCTACTGTTTTGCGGCATCATATTTCAGAAAATGGAGGAAACACTTAAAAATATAGATCAAAAGAACACTAAATACAAGGAAAAGTTGGTGATGAGTATGCAAATTTGGAGCAATAAGATGAACTTCTTGTACCTTGGCTTCTTATCATCTTTGTCAAAGAATCTAAAAACTAGAATGGTTGGTTGTGAATTCTCTCATCACATCTGGAAAAAGCTTAAAGTCTTCTTTACTTCTTAGACTCGAACAAAGGGAAATCAATTAAAATTGCACTTAAATTTTTTAGAGAAAATTGGTACTACCAATTAATACATGTTTTCCATCAAGAAAACTGTTTATCTATTGGCTGCTATTGGAGCTACAATTGATATTGAGGACCAGATCCAAGCCATATCCAATGGCCATTCTCAAGAATACGAACCATTCATTACTTTTGTGATTTCAAGAATGGAACCCTACACCATAGAAGAGATGGAGGCTCTAGTCTACTTATGGCTCAAGAGCGTCTTGAAAAACAAAAACAAGAGACAACACCATCTTCTATGGAATCTTTGCAAGCACACCTAACCCAATTTCAACAAAATAATACAGGAAGAGGTTAAAATTTTCAACAAAAGAGGTCAGTTTCAAATTCAACAAAACAATAGAATAAAAGGAAAATATTTCAACAGAGGAGGAGGTATATAAAACAAGCTTACAAGCCTTAGTGCAGGTTTGGTCACATTACTATTGCAGGGAAAAAGTAACTCTATAAGTGCCAAATCTATGCTTTAAGTATCTTTAAGAATTGATATTCAAATAATTACAATATGTGAATGATAGAAAAGATAGAGAAAAGTTTAGCATTTCAGCCTAAAGCCTATTTGGATAAAAACTTCTTAAGAAACATATATAGAGGAAGAAAATAAGAAAACATAATTAAACTTCTATCGCATGTTAAAATTTACATACGCAAAAGTTAAAATTCGTTTTTAAAGGAGTTTCTATATATTAGTATATGCATCCATTAGTTAATTTTAATTTATGAGAGAAACTTGGTTCATTTTACTTTTTTTATTTCATTTTGTTATAAGTGTCTATTGGGAAAACAGGACTTAATATCAAATAATTTCTAGTGTTGGTGAAACTCAGCGTATCAATATTCGATGCGTTAAAAAGCAAAAGAGAGAATTACCAGTTAATTCAATAATTCATTGAGGCGATCAAAATTGACTCTAGATTTGCGACTCTGCAAATGATACAAGCAAACAAGTATAGTTAGTAATATATAAACAATTTCAAAAGATCTTAAGTTGATAACTAAAATAACTAAAATGAATCATATATTGCTCAAGGACCAATAAAGCTGCACGCACATAATAAATCATAAACTAAATTGTAGAGAATTGTAGATGTTACCTCATCTCTCTCTCAAAAGATGTCAACAAATAAGCATTAAATCTGAATTCTCAATGAGCACGAGAATCCAAGGTCAAAGCAACTATGGGTACTCTCACACTAGACCTTGCTTATTCTCCATTGCTTTTCACAAGAATATCTTTCCTATTTAGTTTTTACGTCAAGGTTCTAAGGGTAGTTATACTTCATCACAAACATATTTTACAGAATAAAACTGAAGCAATGTGTAGAAATGTTACAACTTACAGCGTTGCAGTCAGGTGAATAAATAATAATCAATGATTAGGAAATGAAGTTCAATGAACATGTATTCCCTCTGCCATGAGAGGATTGAAGGTTGCGGTAGTTGTGGATATATTATACATTAAGGTGCCGTTTGGTGCAATAATACATGATACAACCAAGCAATATATACAGAACATATTAAAAATATACGATAATATGTGGGAACATTATCCAATGAAAATGTACGTCTGAAGTTGAATAAATACCTGGCCAACAGCCTCTGTAGCAGATTGAGCTGGCCATAAATTTTTTGACTCGTGGCCTTCTCTCTGTTTCCTTTCCTGTGATAGGGTATTTAACAAACAAAAAATATTACAAGTCTTGCAGTAGGTTATGCAGAATTAATGATACTTTGTAGACAAAAAGAAAACAGGCATAACTATTGGATCCACTCTACTAAAGCACACACATGGAAATATATATCAAGGAATATAATCAATTTGAAAGTAAAACAATTAAAAAAGCATTATGTCCATCAAAAATTGAATTCATCTTATTTACCAAACTTACCAACTTCCTAGATAGGGCGTCTTTAAGTTTTCCCATCTCAGGTTTCCATTTCATTATCCTCTACTTTAAATACAAGCAAATAGTATATACTATATAATGACAGGCAAGAAATTCTTCATATATTGATAATTCAATCTGTTTTGATATTTTGGTTTCAACTCAACAAAGTACACTGCGTTATTTAGACAACTAATAAAAAATTTCAAAATATAAAGGGGGAAATAAAAATCATGTCCATTCATCAAACCTTGGATTCTTTAAACAACTAATACCAACCCATTCCTGACATTGGCACTGCAGCAAAGACAACCTCACACTTAACAACAGCAGTTGCAAACTACAACTGTAGATGCAGTGATGCACACCAACATTGGAAAGCTTATAGAACACCCAATTAATGGTTCAGTTTTATTAACAATCAATAGAGGGACAGAAAAGAGCTTGAGGCTTTACAAATCAAACAATTCCAGATCCAGCAGCTCCTCACATAGACTCTCCCCAGAGAGTCCCCCTCCAAACCACAATGCAAACCATGCATGACCAATCCACTCTTCAACCATTCCCTAAAAAATATAAACCAAGGAACTTCTTAACAGAAAGGTCAGCAACCCTGCTCCCTCATCTACCATGTGGTAGAACTTATTTAGCAGTAAAATTGTTGAGTAATGTGCTGTGATAAGTGCTTAGTGCTGTCATAATGTAATGTTACATGTGCTCTCATAAGTCGCATTTAGTAGTATTCAAGTGATTTTTTACATTTGTAATTGTTACAGCATCCTAAGAGTTATTTCAGTCTATAAATGGCTATGAATGTACTGCAGAAAACACAAAAAAAAAAAAAAAAAATCTAATAAAATTGAAAGCAATTCAACCCCAAATTACCTTCCTCTTATTCTAAATTTTCTATGCACAATTTTGCAGAAAGTAAATTCCTTGAGTGTTAGATACCAACATCATCTATAGAATACAACCACTAGATTAAAGCTTAGACAAACGGATTTTTCAGTTGTAATGTCCACTTTCTACTTGCACTGGCCATGAAATCTTAAATTTTTATTTCGTAGCTACTCATTCCAAACTAACTCCCATGTTAGTAAATCATGAGTGACATTCTAGTACTAGTAATAAATTTATGATATTGGAGATGGTCCACCAGTACCACCAGTATAAAGAATTGAAACATTTGGACCACTGAGTAAATTATTATATGTGATCTTCATAAATCTAACCATTGAATCGTGAGAAATACATTGTTTGTTCATGCATATCAAATTTTAAATAAATTGGTTATTGATAAGCCAAAATTTAACAAACAATAGTTATATGCATTATTATGTTAATCAAATAATGTACTCCGAAGGCATAGATCAAAATCAATTTGACATGACACTTCTCGACTTGATTTATGTAATGAGAGATAAAAATCTGACAGTGGATTTCATGAAACTTTTATCTTAAATTACTTGTAGCATAATTTCACACAAAAAACCTCAGTTAAAAATTATTCAGAAAGTACCTTTCTGGATTTCGCCACAGCTTTGTCAAGATCTCTAGCCGCAAGTAAAACCTCCGAACAGTTTCCTAAATTTTCCCCAACAGCTTTCGTGCCAGTTGCTTCCTTGGCTGCCTGCTCCTGAAAGAAAAGATAACCACTTCTGAATTTGAACTTTAAATCACAAAAGAAAGTGAAAAAATTAAGTGATAACTTTATCTAGCAGTATCAAAAGTCGCAATTAGTGGATAAATTTTCTGTACCAAAAGATACACTCGGTTCACTTTTTCCCATAGTATCTTCTTGATATTCTTCCCTTCTTCATCATGAAGGTACACATCAACATCATCATCATCAATATCAGAGAAAGTTTCTGATTCACCTTCTGACATTACAATTGGATTTTTTCCATGCTCTTTTCCCATAGTATTCAACTCCTTAATCTGTAATCATTCAAGATTGATGAAATATTTTAACTTACTGTCAAATCCGAGACAGTGAATTTAACTAAAACACACTGAGTAAAGTAAAATCCCGAACACTGCTTGCAGCTAGAATTAGTGTGCAACAAAGAGTAGGGAACTGGGGTGATTAAAAAAAATCCATAATTGGAGCGTAGGTTTGAGGGGTATTAGGGAGATTCACGCATGGGTCTACGCCCAATTTTATACCTCCAAAACTGCACAGATTTAAGCACTCTTTGTGCTACCTATGAGTTACTTTCTCATCCTATTTTTGCTCCCATGAGTTATAATGCATCCTCACCATAATCAACTATAGTAAGGTTATAAATTTATAATCCATCATGTAGCCGTTGTAAAGCAGCACACTGCAATACAACATAAAATAATCTGTCATGCCTACTACCAAATTATATTAAAAAAAACTGAAAATAAAATACTACACAAGGATAAAATGGCAATTACTTAAATTATTTAATTTTACACAAATCTTTAACTATATAAATGTAATTTTAAATACTAACTTTCCTTTATTTGTCGCGTAATTTCATCTAGTTATATAACTATAATAAAATCATTTCTTACTTGTTTCCTTCATTTCTCTTGGATTCTTTCCCCTCACCCGAACAAAGGAAAATGAAAATTTGAATGGCAACTACAATCATAAGAAGAGCATATATCAATCATCCTAAATATGGCAGAAGTCTCAGCAGATTATTGCAGAAACATAGCGACTATAGAAAAAGAGAATGGTTATATACAAAAAGTACATTAAAAAACTAGAAAAACTAATAACATATAGAAAGAACAACGAAGTAGAATCCTGTAAAATTCACCAAAAGAATTCCAATTCACAAATGTATGAAATAATATCACTCTCATGTCCGTATTTATTATAAATAAATAATAAAAAAAAAAAAAAAAACCTAATTTTTTTGCATTGAAAAGGAAAGGAATTAGCAGGAGAGCATGATTGTATTTTGTTAAAGAGAGTGTGATATTATACATAAGAAGGCCACGGGAGACTGACCGCGAAGGATTAGGAAGATGGAGCAGAGCGCAGTGGAGAGAACTTCCAAATTCAAATGAAGACGTTAAGAGATCCACCTAAAGTTTTTATATTACCTTCTTCATGAAATGACTTAATTATCCCTAACCCCTCCTCCAATTCCAATTCGCCTTTCCCTCTTGCCTCACTCAATTTATCATATTTTGATGTTGAATAAATAATTAATTTACTTAAATTCTTAAAATTTAATGTAAAATATAACTTACTGATTAACATAAAATTTCACAATATATAGATAGATGTGTAAGTTTTTGAAAAATTAAAAATTAATTAATATTTTATTAAATTAAATTAAATTAATAAAATATTAAATAAATTTTAATTTTTTAAAAAATTTGATATATAAATTAAAAATTTTAATTTAACGATTGAATCACTAAAATTGAATTATAAAGTGAAATAAGCCTATTAAAGCTTAATTATGAATTATTTACTTGTTTAAAAAATAAGTCTATTTAAATTTATTATATTCGACATCTCATGTTTTACATCAAGTTTTAATGATGTAATCATTGAATTAAATTTTTTTAATATATAAATCAATTTTACAAATTTAAAAAAAAATTAAAACTATTTAAAAACTTTTAATTTAACAGTTTAAGATTTAGAAAAACATGAATTACTAAAGAAAGTATATATATATATATATATAAGGAGAGATCCTTTTATTCTAGGAGTAAGTCTACCTAGATTTACTCTGTTCAATAGCTCATGTTCTACATTAAATTTCAACGATCTAACCGTTCAATTTAAAGTTCTTAATGCATAGATCAAATCTGTAAATTTTTAGAAAAATTGAAAATTATTTGATACTTCATTTCATTAATCCGAATTAATGTATAAAATGATTTTATGATTATCCGTCAATTTGAATTAATGAAATGAAGTATCAAATAATTTTTAAATTTTCTAAAAATTTGCATATCTGATCTATGTGTTAAGAACTTTAAATTGGATCGTTGAAATTTGATATAGAACATGAGTTATTGAACGGAGTAGACTTACTCCAGGAGTAAAAAAAATCCCTCCTCCTCCTCTCTCTCTCTCTCTCTCTCTCTCTCTCTCTATATATATATATATATATACATATATATATATATATGAAGAGCAATCAAATTACTCCAATGATAACTCTTGATAAAATTATTGTACCCAATAACTCATGGTTCATATATTCAATGATTTAACCGTTAAATTAAAAGTGTTTAATGCATATTTCAAATTTATAATTTTTAAAAAATTATTTGTTAATTCATTTCATTAATTTAAATTGAAGAATAATTATAAAAGTATTTCACATGTTGATTTGAATGTACATAATAAAATATTGTATTATATTTAATTTTTAAAAAAATTTATAAATTTAATCTATATATTAAAAACTTTTATTTTAATAGATAAATCCCTAAAACTCAACATATGCACACACATATACACTCACACACACATAGCACACACACATGCGCACGCACGCATGCATGAACTTAACTCAAATTTATGATCCTGAAAAAATATATTTAAACTATCTATTTTTTTGAATAAAAATTAATAGTAGTAAAAATATTTTTATCATTTTATATTTTATAAAATTAGAATATTATCCATAATGCTATATCTTTTGAAAACTAAATTATATAAATAATTATTATATATATATATATATATTTATTTAATTCTTCACTATTAAATTAAATAAAATGACTCAAATTGATTATTGTGTCCATATATCAATAAATGTATGGTTCTTTAAGTTAACCAAAGAGATCAAGTGATAAAATTTAGCTTAATACATAAAAAAGAGAGATTTATTGTAATGATTTTATCTGACTCAAAATCGCTCGTATAGTTGTTTCGACATTTATATTGTTTATACCAAAAACAACTTTTTAAACAATAATATTATGAAAATCAAATCGAATTAACCGGTTAGATCATAAAATCGTGAATCAATCATGTGCTCGCAAACTCTTTTGGTATATCAAAAACTTTCTTTTGAATCTAAAAAAAATGTCAAATTTAGTCTATATTGTATGGGTTTCTGTGATTCGCCAAATACCAAGAATTCAACAAAATAGAAAAATCATACCTTCATAGTATCGAACACTAGACCTTGCAAGTCCCATGCTAAGTGCATCTAACCACTGCAACATATGAGTTTCCTTGCATGGGTTTAACTAATATTTTATATAAACCTCAAGAAGTTTAGATATGGCCTACGATGAATTATATTCATAGCAATAACTTTTACACAAACCTAGAATAAATGATCATTTGTTACTTTTACACAAATAAGCAGACTTTAAATAAGTTACACATAAGCTAACCCCAATTTTGTGTTAAACAGAGAGATGCTGGTAAAACCTACCTGAGAATTCCACATTCTAAGCTACTTTTGAGTAATCATCATCATTATAGCCGAAACTACTATCCTCAGAGAAGTATTTCTCATACATATTTTCAGTAGAGGAGGCATTTTTATACATATCACCTTCATCTTCAAAATCATCCACTGATCCCATCCCATCCTCATTTTTGTCCTCAACTTGATTATCTGGGGGCGGATCAAATCGCACTTTCTTCTGTTTCTTGGGATCAACGCCATCTTCCTGTTTTGTGAAAACATTTTTAAATTTAAGAGAGTCCAACATTGTGATTTGAAGAATAAAATAGGTTAATTGTCAGACGACATATTTCTAAATTTCTCTTTTAAACATGTTTAGATTAATCAGAGTCAAACTATTCAGAAAATCAAGAATGAAATGTCATTCAGATAAGGCTAAATTATCTGATAGATATAGCAACTTAGAATGTCATAAACATGTTCACCACCGTAGCTACTGAAACACATAATCAAATCAAGTTTCGGTACCAACTTAATAGAAGCGAAGAAAGGAACTTTTTTAGCAAACATATAAGCCCTCGACCAAATATGCATTAAGTATCTTTAAGAATTATATTCAAATAATGACAATTTGCAAATGACAGAAAATATACAACACAAATTGAAAATTTCATAGGCCATATCAAAACTTCTTAAAATATTATAAAAACCAATTAACATAATTTAAGATAAAAAATAGAAATTAAATTGTAAAATATATTTGTTAAACATAACAATTAAAAACCCTTAGCCTTGTGGAAATTTGGCTCTATAGTAGCTAGGAGGGACTAGGTTCATATCCTCCTAGTAGCAAAATGTACATTTTTTTTTATTTGTAATAAAAATGCGTGCGTAAAGTGTATCAATATTACATGCGTTAAAAAGTGAAACAGTTATAGAGAGAATTACCATTTCATTAAATAGAAATTCACCCAGGATATCAAAGTTGACTTTAGATTTGAGACTCTGCAAGTGCTACAAACAAACTAGTGTTAGTACATAGTAATATATAAACAATTTAAGATCTTATGTTGATAACTTATAGATTACTAAAATGAATCATTTATTTCTTGAGGATTTGACCAATAAAGCTGCACGCACATAATAAAATCGTACAGAATTGCAGATGTTAACTCATCTGTATCTCAAAAGATGTCAATAAAGAAGTCTTAAATCTGAATGCTCAATGATCACGGGAATCCAAGGTCAAAGCAACTGTGGGTACTCCCATAGTACTCAATGCTTAGAAAGACCTTGCTTTTTCTATCTTTCCTTTTTAGCTTTTACATCTAAGGTTGTTATATTTCATCACACGACATATTTCAGAAAAATTGAAGAAATGTGCAGAAAAATTACAATTTACAGCGTTGCAGCCCAGTGACAAATAATGATCAATGATTAGGAAATGAAGTTCAATGAACAAATATTTCCTCTTCCATGAGTAGATTGAAGGTTGCCGTAATTGATGATATATAATACATTAAGAAGCTGTTTGGTACATTAATTTGACATGATATGTTGATTATCTTGTTTGGTTGCAGCATTAGAATTGAAATTCCAATTCCATGTAATGTAGCCTGCCGGAAATTGTCTCCAGCGGTGTTGAATAGTGGAGTTCTGCACTGGTGCATGGTGGTGGTGACCAAAGAGGAAAAGAGATGATAGTGATACCATGCAGAGGGAGCATTGTGACGATATAAATTTTAGATTAATCTAACATATAGAAACTATGATATGGTAAACTACTTGGACAAGTGGTCTACCTTATAGCCTACATCCATAAACAATTGCAATATAAACAGAAGAAGGGCTAATGGAAAATATATTTAGAAGAGAATAAACTCCTAAAGTTTAGTTAATAATTAGATCATAGCTGAAAAAACAAAAGGAAACAAATACTCTCCTAATAATTAAAAATTTTATCAATCATAACCCAGTAATTTCGGGATTGACCTGATCCCTTGGTTTTTACAAACGAATCCCACAGGATTTTTAGATTTTATATATACACACAAGCATTTTTTTTTTTATAACTGTGATATTAATACGAAGTATTCACTGCAAAAGTAATGACTATTCTCTGTCAGGAACCATGAGCACACACAAGGTAGGTATTCCCTTCCCAATATAGTCTATTTCATACTCAAGACCATGATTTGAACCTTGGACATCTTGGTTAAGGGACACAAATCACCACCACTTGTATCAACCAATGTTGATACACAAGCATAATTTATTCAAAGAAGAGTTATGCATAAGCATCACAAAATTTCCTCTAGCCAACAAAAGATTTTCCCTTTGGCACGGGAAAAAGTGGAACAAAGCTTTAGCAACCTCAAGTAGCATCCACAATAGGGAAGTAGAAGTAATAGTGTGTTTGGATGGGGAATTTAAATGGAGTAATTCAATTATTTGAAGAATTTCAAATTCTTTGAGGTGAAATACTTTGTTTGGATGAAGAATTTATAAGGAATTTGAAATTCAAGTATTTGTGAAATTCCTTGAAATAGTAGAATTTCAAATTCTTCCAAAAAAGTAAGAATTTGAAATTTCTCATATTTTCTTTTTCTTATTTCACTTATATATTTTATCTTATCTCTTATCTCTTCATATTTTTAATTATTGAATATTCAAAAATATTTTTAAAATTATTAAATATTATCTAATATTAATTTTTAAAATTATTAAATATTTAAAAATTAGCTAATATTGATTTTTATAAAATTTAATTTAAGAATCTCAACATTAAATATATTTTTAAAATCAAATTTACCATGGTGGAATCAAATTATCATATACAACCCAACAATTTTAAATTTAAAAAATTTGAATTGACTTATCCAAACAAAATATTTTAAGAATGATAGAAATTGAAATCAAAGTAATTCAAATACCAAGAATTTAAAATTCTTTGAATTTGTAAAATTTCTCATCCAAACACACCATAAGAAAATCAGAAGACAGACTAATAAGAAGAAAAGATAATAGGAGTGTTCATGGATTGGATTTTATAAAAATCCAAACCCAACCATACCAATCCATTTTATAAAAGTGGATCAATTTGATTTTTTTAAAATATGGATCAGATTTTTTAAAACCAGATCAATTTGGTTGACGCAGTTATCCTGAAACACATGACCTCTTGGCCATAAGCACTTTGATATACCATTTTGAGGAGTAACTTCCAAAATCTTATGCTATTAGGTACAAACCAAAAAATGGTTTATAACTATATATCAAACCTGAAAACGACAAATTCTAGCACATAAAGATATTGAATTTCATGGTCCATCCTAAGCATATAGCGATATACAACCAAGCAATACATACATAACATGTTACAAATATACAATGATGTCGAACTACAACAATATTTAAAGAAAATGCTCGTTTTATGTTGAATAAATACCCTTTTTTTATTAGACATTTGGCCAAAAGCCTCAGCAGCAGATTGAGCTGGCCCTAAATTTTTTGCCTCATGGGCGCGTCTCTGTCTTGTTTCCTGCAATAGTGTATTTAACAAACCAATATAATTATAAGCTTTCAAGTCTTGGCAGTAGTTTATCCAGCATTAATATTATTATGTACATAAAAAATAAATACATTCATAAACTATTGGATCCACTTTACTAAAGTACACCCCTTTTTTTTGGTTGGCAAAAGATATGATATATTTATATATAAGGAGCACAGGAAGTGCTAAAGGAAGTACATGAAAAGGGTATAAAGCATCAGGATATCATGGAATCTTAGGCATGAGCATCTTAGGATATACAAAGAACATGCATATGCCAAGATACAAATCCTAGAAAAGAACCCGTAAACCAACACCACAAAACACATGCAAACACAAAGCCCAACCATTGGGTGATAACCCACCCCTACAAAAACACAGCAACCTGACGAATAAGTAGTCGAGTCTGAGACTAGAAGACTAATCCACCGCAGAGATAAAAGGGATCTTTGGTGAGATTCTAAGACTAGCGATGCACAGAAACAGATTGGATTCCCAATAAAAAAACTACAGTTAAACTCCTTTTCCTTAGCTTTAAGCTAACTCCAAGAGACAAAATTGATATTATCCAGCAAAGAGATCATGTCAAGGGTTTTATTTTTGAAAATAACTTCATTCCTATGCTTCCAAATGAACCACACAATAGCTACCCATATTGTTCACCCAACACGCCTCATGACTTTGCCTTTCCTCCTAGCACAATGTTGCCAAAAATGGGTAGAGGGACATAAATGGTAAGGCTGTCAAAACACCTTCCCATCGATATGTATACATCCAAATAGAATAAGAAGCCCTGTAAGTAAATAAAAGGTGCACCAAGTTCTCGTCGAACTCATTGCAAAGTGGGCAAGCTAAGCTAGATCTGGTGAGTAGATTTCTTCTCCACAAATTATCTTTGGTTTGCATTCTACCAGGCAACATCCTCCCAATTTGGATAATTTGTTAGCGAGAATTAATGTTTCAGTTTTATTAATCCAGAAAAGAGCTTAAGGCTCAACATAACAAACAATTCCAGAGCTTGCAGTTCCTCACAGAGACTCTCTCCCAAGAGCAGCCCTCCTAACTTCTATACAAACCATGCATGACCTGGCCTACTCTCTGAGCATATAAACCGTGGACCTCCTTAACAGGACAGTCAGCAACGCTGCTCCCTCAGCTGCCATGTGTGGCAGTGGGTAACTTCTTTGCTTTTCCCTTCCTATATTAAACCTTCTAGACTATGGGACTCTCTGGAGAAAGTTTTAGCTGTAAAATAAATATGCAATGTCTTTTCTAATGTACCACCAAAGCAGTGTCCCTACTTCACTGGATTAAAGCTTAGAAAAACGGATTTTTCAGTTGTAATGACCTCTTTCTACTTGCACTGACCATGCAGTCCCATATTTTTATTTCATAGCAATTCATTCAAAATTAAACCCAATGCTAGTAAAACATGAGCGGCATTCTAGCAGTAGTCATGAATTTTTTATATTGGCATGGGTCCACCATTACCAGTATACAGAATTGAAACACTTGGACAATAGAGTAACTTATATATGATCTTCATCAATTTAACCATTGAATAGTGAGAAAAACATTGTTCATGCATATCAAATTTCAAATAAATTAGTTATGGATAAACCAAAATCTAGTAGGCAATAGTTTTATACATTACGGAAGCCATATTTTATGTTTAATTAAATGATGTACTGATAAAGAAAATATAAAAATCAAATAGACGTTACACTTGTTGACATGATTTATGTAATTAGAGATGAAAATCTAATAGTGGATTTCATTAAATTTTTACCTTAAGTTACATATGGTATAATTTCACATGAAGAACCTTCCAAAAATTATTCAGAAAGTACCTTTCTGGATTTTGCCACGGCTTCATTAACAGATGCAGCAAGCTCTCTTGCCGCTAGTAAATCCTCTGAACAGTTTTCAAAATTTGCCTCAAAAGCTTTCTTACTTGCTGCTGCAGCTGCTTCCTTAGCTGCCTGCTCCTGAAAGAAAAGACAAGCTTGAGTGAGATCGAGTGCAGATTAACCTCCCAAATAAGCCTAATATTTAACAGCAAACCTGAGAGATACAAAAGTACAAGCAACAAGCACCCACTTCTGAATATGAACTTTAAATCATGACAGAAAGCCAAAAAAACTAACAGACAACGTTATCTAGAACTATTAAAAATAGAAACTAGTAGATAAGATTTTCTGTACCTCAAGATACTCTTGGTTCGCTGTTTCCCATAGTATCTTCTTGATATGCTTCCCCTCCTCATCATGAAGGTACACATCAACATCTTCATCATCTATATCAGAGAAAGTTTCTGATTCATCTTCTCTATGTGAATCATCATATTTACCATCTTTGGTGCCCTCACGCTCAACATTTGCCCCTGAAACCATTTTTGAGCAATTTAAGAATGAAATCTCTAAACAGGAAATCTCGCACACTAGCAAGAGTGAAAGAAATAAGAGCACCAACCAATACTTTCTGGCACATAGGCAGGCAAATCCTCTTTGTGGCTTTTAAACTGATCATTTGATGAATTCCCCAACTAACCAAAGGAACCACAAAAAATTAAGATTTGGAAGTGGTGTTAGTTTATGCGTCTTTTAAAGTTTATCAGCATCATGTACGGGATTCGGGAACAGATGCCATTGTCTGGAAATTGGAATTAATTTCAGATGGCCATTTATATGGCATCATTGGATTGAGACAGAATGGTTTCAAATAGGATAAGTGATATATGAAAGTTAAAGCTTCTTGGCCACAACTTTGTAAATGCGGCTCTTTCAGGACTATTCTTGCTAATGAGGGGTTACATTATCTGGGAGCGACTACACTGTGTGAACATGTGCACATAATATGAGCATCTCTTATTACATCAAATGGCTCATTTCTAAGTCATATGACAGACTGGTACTCTTTTACTGGATGCATTCAGTTAAAAGTGGAATATCTGATTAGTTCCGTCAAAAGAGAAAGTACGGGCATGGAATTCTGGTATGATATTTGGCACCAGTATGTTTGTTTGTCTCTAGAATTTGTGGACATAGATTCTCTTTTCTCCTCCATGATGAAATGCAAATTTTAATGGAATTAAAGAGGTTTTCTAGAAAAAAAAAAAGTGGATATTTTATAGCCCCTACTTAGTCCTTGAATTGTTTGTTAGAATTTTCAAATTATATTAATTTTATGTAGAAATTTAACTATAAAGTCAATACAAATAATTTTTCTTCGCTGTTTACAAGACCCCTAGTGAATATTCCAAATCTTTTATTGCACAAAGTTAAAATTGGAAAAAGGAAAAGTTAACATGGATACTTGTAAAAGAAAATGCAAACTACCACACACAAGACTTAGTCATGGAATACTTACAATAGATGTTTCATCGACACTCTCCTTGGGAAGTGTTTTTTTCATTCTTTCCCTCTCAGCACGCTGGAACGCAGGGGGATCCAAACCACCACCAAGTCCACCAGAGAGCTTATCAAACTGTGAGTGTATCAATCAGCTCAATAGTGAATGCCAAAAAGCAGTGTGGCTAAAAAAGCTAAGCATCTTGACAAGAAAAAAAGTACTCACATCCTTATAGCATGCTTCACATAATCCAAGTGCAAAATGGGGCACCCCACTATCCCTGTGCTCACACAGAAGATCTTTTGAAATACAATCTTTTAATTCACCTGCTGGCATTACCATTGGATTTTTTTCATGCTCTTTTGCCATCGTATCCAACTCCTCAATCTGTAACCATAAAGATTGATGAAAATTTTCCACTTACTGTCAAATCTAAGTTAGTTTAACTAAAAGTCTAAAACACAGGGGACTTAAAAGTTCATTTCGTAGTGTAGATATATGATAATCCACATATCAAATACATCATGCCATTGAAAGGAGGTAGAAACATACTGTCAAGCTTTGACTTTGTACACTCAAATTCTACCAATCGTTTGGTCAATGTTGCTTCACATACATGGACGATTCTAAGCTGACTTAAAAGTTCATTTCGAAGTGTAGATATATGATAATCCACATATCAAATACATCATGCCATTGAAAGGAGGTAGAAACATACTGTCAAGCTAGAAGACTTTGTACACTCAAATTCTACCAATCGTTTGGTCAATGTTGCTTCACATACATGGACGATTCTAAGCTGCATTGCAAATGAGAAAATCAAGGGACGCCTGATATAAAAAATAAAAATAAAAAATAAAACATAATAAGGCTCAACTAGCATCCTTGAAATTTAGATCAATCATCGAGTGAAGAAACAAGTATGTGAAGAATTGTGTAACTAGTTTATGAAGAAGATCATGCCATATATTACTGTTAATATAACCATTCTCTTCTCTCTCTTCAGGAACAGAATTGCTTAAATGGAAACAGAATGACAATGCAATATTAAAACCCCAAAGGAAATTTGTATCCCACTTACAATTATACCATGAACATATGATAGACAAGCATAAATCGCCATTGGTGCAAAGATAGGCATTGTCGTGTTTGTCAGTCCACGTTTAGTTTTTGGGAAATGACACAAAATGACAAATAGAAGAGGGAGGGGGAGAAGGAGGTTGAATAAAAAATGAGGGAATGTACAATAATATTAATAGTAACTAGAGTAAAGAAATGTGTACACAATTGTTATAGGGAATAAGACATAAAATAGAGGAGGGAGAGAGAGAGGAGGTTGAATAGAAAATGAGAGAATGTCTAGTGATACAGTAGTTAAGTGATAAACAAGAATATTTCTTTTATTATAGATTAGTAAGATTGAGACACTTCTTACCTCTATATTTTATTTAATAAAAATGTTTAAAAATTATCATGTTTGTTAGATTAACTATGTTGCACTCAGGGACGGATTTACATACAATTAAGTGGGGGCACTTGCCCCCACTACCATTTTACACACATAATTTTTTTTATTCCAAAAAATAATATATTTTAAAAATGAAAGTTATATTCTAATAATATATATATATATATATATATATATATATTTAAATCATCTTATGTATAAAATATAAATTCGGAGAAACTGTTTATTTATTTAATATTTGTCAAACTTTCGAATAGGATTAGTTCTCATATATGATAAAATAAAATTTGTAGCATACATGTTTACCTTTTGTGCTTTATGTTTATTGTATATGTTGATAAAAAAAAAAATTATAAAAATTGTAAGATTGTATACGTTGATTTAAAAAAATCAAAATAAGAAAGATTGAAAGATTTATGTTCTATTTATAATTTTTATTATAAAATATGTTTTAAAATAAATTATCATCTAAAAATTTATATCACATATTAAAAACATGTTTATATCATAAATAAATTAAACTTGATTTTATAAAATTTAACATATTTATTTTTATGTTTTTATTAATATTAAATTATTATAAAGTGGTCTTTAAGATTGTAGTTCTAACCAAACATTTAAAAAAAAATTATGACAGATAAATATGTCATATTTAGTACATGTATTTTAAAAGAAAGTTGGATTCAAATCTATTAAATTATAATATAACATAGTATGGCCTAATTTATTTTTATCATTGTAATTGTAGATATAAAAACTTGTAAATTATAATATATATTTATACTTTTAAAAAGTTATATGTAAAATTTTTAATATTATAAATATATGAATAAATATTGTCTCCACTATCTAAAATTTCTGGATCCGTCACTGGTTGCACTTGATCTTCAAACTATAAGATCTCAAGTTCGAATTTTGTGTTTATAAAGATAATTAATTTTTAATATTATTTTTTATTATTTAAAAATTTAAGAATAAAATTATCTAAAAAAATAATATATATATATATATATATATATGGGGGTTGTAAGTTGCATTATTAGTCTTTTTATTTTCATCAATATGTAATTTTTGTTTGTATTTTAAAATAAAGATATTTAATTTCTCTAATTTTAAAAATATGAAAGTTTGGTTCAATTACAATCAACTAAAATTATATATTTTAAAAGGATAAAATTTAAGTACAATTCCTTAAATACAGTTTTCAAATCAAAGATGGAGTTTTACCTTAGTTGAATGCATAAATGAATATTAATGAGACCTACATTAAATGCAATTCTATAACACCAACGTAAAACTTGATTGAAAAACAATACCAACTATATCTATTTTAAAATAAAGGGATTAAAATTGTGAATCAATTAATAAAAAAACAAAAAATACAATTTAGCCTATATCTTTTTATACACCAAAATTATAATAACATTATCAGAGTTCGAATCTAAGACCGTATTACCTTAACTCCCACCATTTGGCCGACCCTAATGTTCCTATTTGTTATCAATAGTTGAGGTTTTTATATCCCCTTTGCCTTAGTTGGTCCTCATTCTCATATGAATAGTACCCGGCCATTGTGCACCTCCTTTTCCCTGACATCGTGCCACTTTTCTCCTGTGTGCCTCTAAAACTTGATCCAACATCTTCTGGCAACCACCACGCCAGAAGACCCCCCCAACCAGTTTTCACATGTACCCCCCCAACATCTTTGGTTTCTCTTTCACTGCATGAGCCCTTTTTAGACATGCCCATTCCAACAACCACTCTTCCACCTTCCCTCACTCAAGTGGCCCTCTCTAGCACTTTTTCAACTTCATTCTCATGACGTGCGACAGTTCACTTATCAATTCTGGTGTTGCAATGACTTTTACCAGCATTTCATTGATCTCGTGTGAAACATTGACTGAGATGGTCAACTAAAGCACCTGGGCTGCTACTGTCCAGTTGTTATTTCACGGCCAAGGCAATGAAGACCACATTACCAAACAAGCAAAGGATATTCCAAGCAAGAACCAAGTCAATAGAAGCAAATTGATGCCTCTTTTGTGTAGGTTTTTTTTTGGCTTTCTATTGCGCCCAGACTCCAACTGCAATACCTAACACCTTCCATGATGTCTAGAAAAAAGCTAAGAAAGTTTATCCCAATGAGTTCATCACCTCTATAATGTGGTTTTCAATCTTATTTCGTAAAGTTGGAAAACAAGGATATGTAAACCTATCTTGATAGCTTGATCATTGAATTGTTACCATTAGTCGTTGATGTAAATTTCTAGAATACATTACATGTAAAATATTCTAGAATACTGATCCAAAATGTAATAATTAGATAAATCTAGAAACTAATGCTTAGGAAACTCTAGAACCATGGGTGAAATAATTCACCATAGGAATAGCTGAGAGTTAAGGATGGGAATAGAATATGTCAAATTTTGAATATATAAGTCAGGTCTATTCTATAAAAATAAAATCTAAGTTTAATTTATTATTTATTATAAGTATTTTTTATTGTTCTAGTCTAACCTTTTAAATCTTAACATGATCTATTAGTCTATTTAAAAACCTATCTTACAATTAGTTTATTTAAAAACTATTTTACATTAATAACGTTAAATAAACCAATAAATTTTAAATTTTAAATAAGTCAAATTATATTTTTAAATACACGTACAAGTTTTTGTCTAATTTACATGATAAAAAATAGTTTACTTTATTATTATAAAAATTTAGAGTTTAAAATAAAAAAAATAATAAAAGACCAATTAAAGGACAACTCATGCACAGGCTATAATGAAGAAGATAATCAACCACAAAGTATTCTAAATAATCAATCATAGAGATAAAGAATAAAAACAAGCAAAGATGTAGCTACTAGAGTTTTTATTTTCGATATCTTGATTTCGTATGAACAAAGAATATAAAACGTTTAAGTGTAATATAAATGTAAAAAATATTGATAATTTGGATTTTTGTAATACAAATTTATTTATTTAATTATATTGTTAATAAATTGGGCTATCAGGCTTAACAAACTTTTTATAAGTCTAAACTCAGCCTTTTTAAATAAATAGAATTTTTGAAAAGTCTAAGACATATCCTTTTTATTAAATAGCTCAAGTCATAAACTTATGTTTAAAAGTTTGACTTAATCTCATTCCTACTAAGAGTTGTGAGTTGACCATGTCACTGACGTGCAAGAGCCTATAATTAGGCCACTTTCTTTAGGGCTTAAGTCATTTTACTTTCTTCATGGTGAAGCACTAAAAAGGGCTTAAATCATTTTGAAATGACTTAATGCAATTTGTGACAACAAATAAACCCCTCTTCCAAATTAGAACATATTTAAAGGGGAAAATGATGACTCAAGAAAACTCTCTCTAGATTTACACACCTAACTCGTCACTCTCTCTCTCTAACCTCAAAAACCATCCAAGTTAAAAAATTTGGTGGTGATTTCAATGGTTCGGGAACAAAATGACGATAATCAGCACTAGGTCTTCTTCTTTTCTTTATTTTTTTTTTGTTAGTTGACTCATAGAAATGAGTAGCTAATATTTTCGTTGGACATAACTTATTTTACTTAAATGTGACTATTGATTTTTATATATGTTATGATTTCATTATATTGTGATTTCATTTCCATTCTTAAAGCATTTATGTTTTGATCATTTGTAAATTAATTGCAGATTTGAAATTTGATTTGAAAATATTTTCTACATTTGGACTTGAAATCAACCGACTACTAATCCAAGTTGCTAAAAATATAGCTTAGATCCTTAGTTTAAAAAGGAATTTTCTTAATATAAGTTTCTCTCTTGAATATGCAAGAAATTGGTATTCAACAAAAAAAATCTTAGAATTTCTTTGTCAAGAAATTGGCATTGAACGAATTTAATCCTAATCAAAATAGTGAAAAGTGATATATATATATATATATATATATATATATATATATATATATATATCTATCCCTCCCTGATGTTC